GGCGAATTGCCCGTCGGGGTTTTCTTCCGGGCCAAAAGCCCTTGCGGACGTCCTCTGTCTCCTTGGGCATTTTTCTTGATGCACCAGCGGACACGGGAGGTAAGCAAGTGGCTACGAGATCCAGATTTCATATCCAAGTCAAAACCACCTGAGTGACATGGCTCTGACCCTCTCTCAGGCCGCCGTGGAAGCTCCCCCCCACCCTTCAAAGACGGCGTTCCCTTTTCGGCCTGCATATCCGCCAGCAACAGACGGCGTGTTGGACATAAGATATGTAGCGGACCTGGAAGTGTAGTCCTCGATCACCATCGCGGTGCTTGCCCTCCAAGTCGATCTCAAGTGTGCCCTGGCACATAGAGATGATGGAGCTGTGGACTTCCTTGGGGATGACAAAAAGCTGCATGTTGTAGGGGGCCTGGAAATTCCCCTTCATGCGCACGGGCTCGGGTAGGTCGGCGACGTTGTTAAAGGAACATTGTCTCTACCGCATTCAAGTCAATGGGCCTTGGTGGTCAACAATGACATCGAGGAACTGCGTCTTCTTTTTCACGGAGTCGGTGATCTCCGTTTTAGCTGGCAAATCGCCCAGCTTAATGGAACCGGGCTCCTTGTTAACCACCGTTGGTTTTTCCGGGTAAAGGATCTTCATGCCATCGGTGTGTGTGGCTTGAACGTTTGAGTCTGCTTGCATCTCAAGCTCGTCAAATTCCCTTGTGTCATGTTGAAGCCATTGCAAAGCTAGTAAGCTAGTATACCTTCTGCCCTTCCCTTCTTCTCCAATCATTGTCATGGCATCTGTGCCTCCTCAACGCGCCGAGTCGCTTGCTCGTTCCTTCGACACACTGCAAGATGATGCTGTTGCTGACAGTATGCTGAGGTTCTGCGCTGCGTAATGCACATAAAGCACTCGGACCGCAGATGTTCTTCTCCGACCTCACTCACTTTGAAGATAACATCCTCAAACTCGAAGACTTCAGTGCCTTGGTTGAGCTTTGGGCTCCCAATGATTGCAATAACCAGAAGATTATCAGCAGACAAAAAGAGAAACTACAAACCAGTCGAGGAGCCGTCCGGTAGATGGCCAACTTTCACGGGCCAGGATGTAGCCCTGTTGGCGCGCTGGTGTCAGCCATCATGGCTTCGATGCTTTTAGCAATCTCACGAGGCAGCTTTCCTGCAAGAAGGCTATAGCCATATTTGTTGGAGGATGACACCTCGAGGCGCCGAAAACCTGCCAGACCATGCATGTTCCACATATTTGACTTAATCATATGCCAGCTAGGATTTGATTTGGGGTGAGCATATTTGTATGTATGTACCTGTATACACATGTGCGTGCTCTATGCACATAGGTGTGTATATGTGTATATATATATATATACTCGTATCTATGTATACATATAAAACTATGCATATAGCATTTGTTGAAGACAACGAGATTCGTATAAGGTGTGATGCTGCAGTTTCGCTCTCCAGGAGCGGCAGCACCGAGAGGCTATCTTCCACGAGAACACGCTTCGAGCGGCCTGGAGAGCACAACGTAGGGCTCGGAAAGCTTTCCAGGGACCACTCTCTGATTTTCTGTTGGTTCTTGGACGTCGGTGTTGCTTGTTGCTTGGGTGTCGGGATAGATGAGGATGGATCGGGTTTATGGTTTCATGTTTGATTTGACCAGCTGGATTGACTCTCGAACTGCTTTGGTTTTGATTGGATGGTTCCACATACTTGAACTCCTTCCTTTTCTGGAACATTCCCAAAAAGCCCCAGCCCGCGGACGAAT